GGGGGGTGACATGACGATCCAGATAAATAACGGATCGTCACGCATCATTTGAAATATGATTTACGGTAAAAACAAATTAACGCCGAACAACCGCACGCGGAACAACCGCAATGTCAACAAGCAGTTTCACTGTTTGTTAAAAACGGGTATAAAAGCCGACAGAAAATTGATATCGGGAGAAATCGATCGGAAAACTCCTCTCAGGCGCACGACCGACCAGAACTCAAAACTCCTAGAGATCCTAGACATTCCATCGACCGAAGTGGATACGCGACGTCGGTTTCCTATCCATACACCGCTCCGTCGACCGAAGTGGATACGCGACGTCGGTTTCCTATCCATACACCGCTCCGTCGACCGAAGTAGATACGCGACGTCGACATCCTCTCTCCGATACCGCTCTACCGACCGAAGTGGATACGCGACGTCGGTTCCCTATCCATACATCGCTCCGTCGACCGAAGTGGATACGCGACGTCGACACCCTTTCCTCCTCACGCCACGCCGCGAACACCCACGATTGCGAACGCATACAAGGCGTAAGATACCGGTGACGACGAGCACCTTTAAACCTGCCAGGAAAGCCAGGATAAATAAACAGATTAAAGCCGACGAGGCAACGAACTCCAAACGACGAACAATAGCGTACCAGGACACTATCCCGACCGCGTCTCGCCGGCCGCTCGCGCGCCTCGACGCTCATAGCTGATCGCGAGACGACAACAACGGCTCCCGACGAGAGCAAAAACGCGACCACGCGCCAACGGCGTAACGTCACCTGTAAATAATTGTACATAGCTTCGAAATTAGAATATAGTTGTAACCGCGATTCGTTGCGGGTGCGCATCGCTTGTCGGATCGGGTTCGTGATAAGCGGAATAATTGAAAAGAACAATGTTTTAAAAATAATAATGAATAATGTATTTAAATAATAAGCTGACGATAATGACAATATACAGAGCGAACAATACGTGTCGACGCCGTTGGTTTTGATTGTTTGTATCGCTTGACAGAGGTTTGTTTAGACGCCGACTTGCGTGATGTGACACGCGGTGCGCGGGACACGGACGACGTCAGTGTCGCGTATTCGCGAGTTTATTCTGTTGACATTTCTTTCGGCGTCTTATATCTTAACCGCGGTTGACATTTCTTCCGCGATTTTATCGGCGTTTCGGAATCATATAATGTCCGCGGTCGCTGAGATTGCAGCGTGGCTGCACGCGGAATATTGCCTTAGCGGCGTTCCCTTCGATCTTTTGTCGCGGGGACTTAAGTCGTTCGGCGTATGTGATGCGTCCGTTGGTCTTTGCACACGGGATCTTAGCTTTCGGAGTTTCCTTTATGATTACACGAGTTTGGCTTATGCGGCCGTGAGTTCGGATGCGGTCAACGGTGCCGCGAGCCTTATTAGTGTCGGTCTCACGAATCCGTGAGCCGACGGCGGAGTGATTACAGTCACCAATCGACGAACAGTAATCTGCCAGGAGCGGAGTAGACTTGGTCTCTCTTAGAGCGGATGATCGGAATCGGATTCTCTTTCGAGAGCGGTAGATCGGTTCTGATTCTCTTGCGAGAGCGGACGATCGAATCTGTTTCTCTTTTGAGAGCGAACGATCGAATCTCTCGATTATGATTACGCGGCGTTTTATATCCCTCGAATCTCGCTTGATTCACTATTTACCGCGGTTGTTCGGCGGTCGCGCTGTTTACACTATTAGAGGACGCGCTGTCCTCTTGCGCTTTTGATTCGTGATGTTCTGCGTTCTCTTGTTTTGGTGACGTAACGACATGCATCGTTACATAGTTCCACATTATTATAACCTACACCACTAGTTTTCATTTCACAAACGAGACCCGGACCACACCGACTAAGCTATCCCGCACGTAACGCAAGGCCGTTACAATATGTTGTTAAAAATTATGTAATTAAATGTTATATAATATCGGTAAAAATTACCGACCGTCGGTAACATCGATATGCCCCCAGTTACCGACCGCTGATAAACCCCCTTCCGCGGTGACGTCATACCCCCCCGCGGTGACGCAATCCCCCTGACGTCATACCCCCGGGTGACGTCACACACCCCTTCATGATGTTATACCCCCCGCCCGCGGTACCCCCCGCCCCTCATTCCCCCTCGGAGGACCATGGGTTAGAACCCCTATACTATACCTACTATTCTTTGTAAACGAAATGTATTTTTTTTTTGTTATTGGTAGCACATTGATTGAACCTTCAAATGCATTTGCTATTTCCTTGATGATAAAATGTAAATCGTAGCCGGATAAATTGTGAAAAACTATTGGAATGTAATATGAATTTTTGTAATTTAAGTTGCAATTTGAATGCGCTGGACCTCGGTAGCGGCCGGTGAAGTGACAATGATCGCGTATCCTCTGCTGTGAATGGTTTCTCACACACGTGACATTGTGTTGCGTTATGAAATGTCGCCCACTGTTCTTTCGACAAAGTTTCCATGGGGACATTGGATGATAATATTACTTTTACGCGGTGTGCTATTTCTTCGAGTTGCCCGACGAACCATGAGATGCAGTCACTATCACGACGACTTTGAAATTCAGATAATGAATCGTCGTACGAGCAACGTATATAAAATGTTATACTAAATACCCTGTGATGTTGGTATGTGTACAAATTGCGATCCTCTCCATTCCTTGCCGTCTTCTCCAGTATGCACTCTAGGTCGGCGTATATCACAAAGGGAACTCGCTCCTTCCTGCTATGATTGCTAAAACTTAACCAGTTATTGTCTTCGTTAGGTTGAATGATGGCACAGTCGTTAATTTTTTGGCAGCCTACCACGTGACTCTCCAGCTTCTCGTTGGAATGGAAGTAGTGCAGACACCTACAAATATTGCAATTTTTATCGCCTTATTGCATACTTCTGATACAATGAATTCGTGAAATGTACTTACCGATCGCAAATGTATTTCTTGTAAGCTTTCTTGCTCAACTGCGAGCTCACGAGGCTGAATAAGTCTTTGATCCAAGCGAAGTGTTTCGTGTTGTGATCTCGAGGATCCGAAATGTGTAGCAAGTTGACATGCTTTTCCCTCTTTTCGTCGCTGAGACGTATTGGAACAATAGCTTCGTTCTT